AAATGATAAATTGGCCCCACTTATATATGGTTGATCTCACTTTTTATGTCCTTACACCAAACATAAAACGGATTGCACGTTTAACTAGTCCTGCTCTATTCTCTTCGAACCCATAAATTTTACAGAAATTAATTTGATTTTACAAAAGAGACCTAACATTTGGAAAAAATCCCACGTTTAAAATAAGACCTTATTTCTCGGTTCTGATGCTTCGATACAATGCAAGAAATGGGCATCTGATGATAAAAGAAAATGCAAAAGCATGGCGGTTCCTTTCATTTCCTTTTCGAGCAACAATCATACGGAAAGAAGCATGGACACCGTCATGTGCCTGTGAAAAAAAAGGGAGCACACGTTGTCTCATTTGAGAACAGAAATCTAAACTACGTCAAATCAAGCCCCAAGATAAACAACATTACTCACTCATTACGTGCGGTGTCTTATCCATCTTAAACAAACAACGGGAACAGGAACAACTACGCTCGCGCACGGGCATCTCTGCGGGTTCGAACAATTTCCGTTTCGGACGCGAACAAACGCCAGTGCGCGAGCCAAAGCCCCCTGCCGGCCGCCGCGCGCCCGAAACGCATCGCCGCCGGGCGCGGCCGGCCGCAGAAACGGGGGACTGCCCGAAATTCTCCCCCCTCTTTTCCGCTCGCCCAGCTGCGTTCGCTAGTGCCGATCGATCCCACTCACTGAACCAAACCGAGCAATTCTGCGACGCCTTTTGGTTCGTGGGACAGCGAGCGCGTACCGTGGAGAGCGGCCAGATCCGCCTCGGCGGCCGATCGGACGGCTGTGCCGGCGTGCAGGCGCGGGCCGCGCTCTGTTTGCCCCGCGCGGCTTCGCCTCGTTCGCCCAGGTGTCTCGCCGGTGAAAATTCGCGGGGACCCGCGCGGCCGACGGGTCTTTTCACGCGAAAGGGGCCACTGCATCCACGGGGAGGCCCAGCTGCTGGTCTCGGCGAATGGGCGGTGCTCCACTGCTCGTCTGCTCCCCTTGTAGCGTGTGCTTTTTTTTTGTTTGCTCTCCTGAATCGTCCGCTGGGTTTAGTGGGTTATACGAGTAGTAATGGCGCATCTACGACTTGTCGACTTTGCCCAGTTGAAGAAACGGTGTACTCGTACTCCTCCTGGAATAAATTGGTGAAAGCTTACGACTGCACATATACGGTTTCCCTTTTTGAAAGAAAACGGGAGTAGTTTATGTACATTGTACAGTGGTGTGTTAACAATGTTTTGGAATAATATTGGTAAACTCAAAACAATACAAAAGGTCAACGAAGGATTTGGACTCGGTTAGATGCTTAAGTATTGAGTCTGTGTGGATCGTGGAAAAGTCTTGAGTGCGCTTAACCTTTCCAGGCTGGTTTAGGGCTGCCCCGCACTCTATAGAAGTTTTTCTTATTTTTAATAACATTTTTGTACTGAAGGCATAAACACACATCATTTCTGCAGAATTTTAAAAATTATATATTGTTGTCTCCCGGTAAAGCAACTTTCGGAAAAAAAAAATCGTTGTACCATAGGTAGGACGATTTTTTTTGAGTAAAATCGTACTTGGTAAAATGAAATTAAGATTTTTATGGGAAAATAATTTTATTTTTGCAAACACAGAACATGATTTCTCCTTAAAATCATTTTAAAGGAACAACATTCAAATTAAGTTCCGACTGTCTGTTCCCTCCCATTCTCGTTGCTTCTATAGATATGATCTTGTCAATCCGCAATGAAGGACCTAGGAACTTCCAAAAATCATGTGATTTTTTAAGTAGATGCTAAACATCAAGCACGACTGGTTTTGCTTAGATTTGGCATCATAGTTTTTGTAGTTTTGGATTTGAAGAATTATTTCAAAACTACAAAAGCTATAATATCATATCGAAGCAAGATGCACCATATTTAACTTTTAGCATTTACTTAAAAATTTACATGATTTTTTTAGATCCCTAGATCATTCCTTTTGGATTGACAAGAGAAGATCAAGAGAAGCAAAGTGGAACAGAGGGAAGTTTAAATGTCCATTACAAAAATTAAATTGTTCCCATAATATGAAACTCATTAATTTTGTTTTACTAGAGTACGAGTATTACTTTACACAAAATAATTTTACAATAGAATGATTTTCAAAAGTTGAAAAATTAGAGAGCTACTATATATAATTCTAGTATATATAATACTATTGCGAGTAAAAAAATGAGGGAGGTAGATGTGTTGTTGTTTTTTTTTTGCAATTTTGTTCGAACAGACTATTTTGTTACTAAAATTGCCCGAGTTTACAAACATGACGTTCTACCAAAAGCACGCAAGTTGTCTTAGGCCTCTGCCGAATGAATACGTTTACTAACATGTTGTTTGAATGTCTTTTATCTGCTCTTTTCAAAACTCACACTTCCAGTTTAACTCAATTGTACTTCTATGTAGTACACAAAGCAGAGTACTAACATGTAAGTTTGAGCTTGATTCTCGATTCCAAAATAAAATAATTATATAGCTACTAAATAATAAGACATGACAACACATTGTCCATCCGACAAAAAATGTGCTAAAGCCTAGAGATGGTATCTCTATTCACTTAATGAGGACAATGAGTAAGGTAAGAAATTAAGAGGCTATACCTATAAGCATATAAATATTTGCTTGTGGTGACGGAAAGTATAAGTGTGACCAGAAACAAAAAGCATAGGGAGTTCTGTTTCATGCTTTCTCACTTGTGCAAGGTGTAGTGAATAGGGCAAATGTCATTTCAAGCACCAGACAATGACGAAAGATAATTCTTGTTCTTGTATGGAGACGCAAACAAAACTCAAAGCAACCAAAATATAATCTCTCTATGAAGCAACGCTTAGCTAAACTGATATGTAATTGAGGGCAAAGTGAGTAACTTGATAAGAGAGCACAATGGGTGTGTCGATGGTGCTCTAGCTGTGAACTGGTAGTGAACCAAGATACTTTTGTCCTTCGACATTTCAACCCCAACTCGCATGTCCCTCTACACAAGCCTACATCAAGGTTTATCAATATGCCATCTACCGTTAAAGATGCATGCTCTGATAACTCAGTTAATCCTAAAAGGAAGATCGGTATGTCTAAGAGAGAAATTACTTCCTCTATCGCAAAAAATATATTATTTAAGATTTGTTCTAAGTCAAAATATTAAATCTGACCAGATTTGCATAAAAAGTAAACATTTATGACACCAAATAAGTAAATTACAAAATTATGCTTCACGATGGATCATAAATTTTGAGCTTTTATAAACTCAAGATATTTCACTTAGAATAAAACTTTAAAACAAACTTTTGACAGGAGCCGGGCCCTTTCTCTATCTAAAGGACCTCTATAATGTGTTGAATATCCGACAAAACTAATATGAAAGCACCTATGCATTATCTTCTTTGTTCTCCTGGGCTACTCGCATCCCTGGGCTAAAGAACCCCGCTTGACCTAACGGCTTGAAATCTTGAATCCACACAGTACCATAGAAAAATGATAACATTTTCAATTCTCAATAGAGGAAAAAGGATACATATAACCTATTTTTGCTAATAATTATAACCAAGTAAATTACTCATGGGCAAATAATCACGTGGATAATTTGTTCAGTTTATGCGGTAACATCCTTATCCTTTTTTCCCTACTTGCATTGCACTGCTCGTTCAGGTGTGATTATAGAAAATGAAACATGACATATAGTATCATTTCATTTTTGCATAGTACAAACATTATTAGCAGAAAATTGAAACAACATATATACCCCAATATTACGACTAGGGGAAAATACCAAGAATACTCATAACAAGAGAAACATTTGATCATAAATATTGACACCAATAGTAGTTGGATGGTACATGTTTCTGAAGTATCCATCTCTTGAATTACCAAAAATACCCAAAGTACTCCCGATACATGCTTCCAAATTACCTATATCTACCATTATGAAAAAGATTTGCATAAATTACGCATAACTGTGAATACAATACCATATATGGCCACATATAACAGCGAATACTGTGAATACAACGAATACACAAGTAAAATAACTTTTTGAGACCATGTTCAGTAGAGGTATACTCCATCCGTCCCAAAATATGTGCACATCTAGCACTTCGAGAAATTAAATATTCTTAAGTTTGACTAGATTTTTAGAAAATAATATTAACATTTATATCTTTAAATAGGTTTACTATGAAAATATATGATGTGATTCATCTAAGATGTTTGTTTGGAGTCATAAATATTAATACTTTTTTGTATATATTTGGTCAAATTTAGAATTTGTTGACTCCACGAAATGTGAGATGTATATTTATTTTGGGACGGAGGGAGTATATTGTAAGGAAATGTGATCAATATATGTATACATTATATTGTAGGCATTTCACAAAATTCTATATTTCTTGTATTTCTAAAAAAATATTTTTACCTCATACATGCATATTAGTTTATGGACTAGTAAACACTACTAAAAAATGTCATCACCTACGGTTTGTATCGACGGTGAAAACAATTTTCACCGCCGGTTTTTCTTCCTATTATGACCAGCCGGTCTTTCGACCGCCAGTGAAACTTATCACCGCCAGTTCTGTACAAACCGGTGGTGAAATTGCCGACGGTGAAGATAGTTTATGTGGTAGTGAAACAAAGTCAAGTGCATATAAAAGTTTGATGGCTTGCTATCATGCTTGCAGCTATGATGTTCATGCTCACCTCTGTTCTTACTAAACACAATAATCACCACAAGCAATGCTTGCACGATCCATGGGGACCATTTTATTCATATGCTTAAGAAGAAGAAAAAAAAGCCATTTTATCCGTATGATTGGTTAAGTATAACTATATATCTATCAATCCATGATAGCCTCAGTAACAGTATGTTATGCATCCCGACTAAACCATGACACCATGACCGGGCAAGAAATGCCAAAGCATTATTATTTATTAACTTGCAAAAAGGCAGAGGGAAAACAGAGCATGGTGGATGCAAAGTAGTGGAAGAGCATGGGGCCCTCGCCTTTGTCCCTGAACGGCCAATACCCTCTCCTCTCTCCCCTCACCACAGCCCGGCCTACAAATACCACCCCAGCTGAGCAACCACACCATACATGCTTGCAACAAAGCTTGTGTTGTGCAACAACAGCAGCCCAGACATCTACTAGCTCCAGAGACCAGAGTCAGGACTACTAGCCCAAGACCACACAAGTTCCAACACCAAGTGCTTCCAAATTCCGAGCTCCTCCTTGCGGCGCAGCAGTGTGCATGCTCTGCCCGCTTCTCTGATCTAAGGTAAGAAGCCTGACACGCTGGTTAAGTCAGTTCGTTACTCAAGACTCTTTGCAACAAGCGCGACTGCCAGTCATCACGATCGTGCCTCTTCACAGGGAGCAAGCGCGACTGCCACTTCACATCTTTCTCCAGGCGGCGAAGATGTCGGTGGCGGTGTGCCGTGGCCCAGTTGTTCCGGCCTTCGAGGCGCCCTGCTGGCTGCGCCCTGTCGAGCCGTACAAGCAGCGGAGGTCGTCGTCGACGACCGGCCTGCGCAGGTCGACATATGGAACGTCATCCAGGCCGACGTCGACAAGGTGGCGCCCGCCGGCGCTAAGAAGGCGTCCAAGCCGTACGTGCACCCGCTCGTGCGCCGGTCGTCGAGCCTGATGAGCCAGAAGAGCCTCGAGGTCTGCACGGAGAGCCTCGGCAACGAGACCAGCTCTGGCGACTTCACGTCGTCCCTGGACATGGCCAGCCTATTCGACTCGCCGCTGCCGCAGCACCGGAGGAGTCCTTCTGGCAGCACGACGCGGCTCGCTGCTGCGAGGAGGAGCAGTGGGAAAGCAAGGATCTCGCGGCGGTGAACTACCACTGCTCATTCCCGCCGCCGCTGCCGTCTATGGAGTTTGGTTTCCGACGACGAGTATAATAATTTAACAAATATATGTGTTATTTACATGAATATTACATGACTCAAGGAACAGAGACGGACGAATTTGGTTTTGATGGTATTATCCGTTCGCCACATGTTTTTCATTATCATGAAGAAGAGAAGTTCGATGTCGAGTGGGAGTGCTTGTTCCAGCTATACTAGAAACGCTCTCTCAATTCATAAATATTGACGCTGTGGACTATGTAAGTATCCTACACGTACGATATTACAATTAACTGCTCTCTCAAGACACAAATTATTAACTTTTGAGCACTTCTCATGATTTTATGTTGGTGTATAAGAAAAATTTTGCATACTAAAAAGCAAATAGGATAACATAAGCTTTTTTTTTTGACCCCAGGCGAATCAATGAGAAGACATGTTCAGACCTCCATGGATGTGACATGAAAGACCTGAAAGAGAGATTGATTGCTGTTTTTGATGAATTCAAGATGAAGAACAAAGCCCACGTACTTCTAGCCTACAACTGCGAGTATATGTTCTCGACTTTTAATTTTATGCTTCTTTTTTCGTTAAGATTATTCGATAATTAAGATTTTGTGATTGCAACAACCATTTCGTCTTCATTTCTATCAATCTTGCTAAAAATCTGATCGAGGTGTGGGACTCGAAAAAAAAACCATTTCATCATCTGGATGCACGGGTGGCAGTGCTGAATTAGTAAGCGATCCTAATAACATATTATTTTATAATCACGTATACCGCTTTCTAATATTTTTCCTTTTAATGTTGCACAGTATCCGAAGAAGACATATCGGTGGGACGCAGGTCACATTCAAGGTTGTCGAAATGGAGGAAAAGTACCTAAAACAGCCGGAGGGAAACAATAAATGCGGGTTTTATTTAATGTGGGCAATGCTTCGCTACATCGGCGGGAAATCGGAAGAAGCAGATAAGTTGATGTATATAATCCATATTTTATTTATGTCTACTAATAATTCAACAAAATGATTTACTGATTTCTCTTTGGATATCATCTTTTTTGAACGACAGCACAAGAAATATAACCACAAAAGCTGTTAGACATGGAGATTATCGCATTGCAATCGGAGCTGGCAAAATTCATCTTAACCGAGGTATTAAAAAAAGATGGAGTATTTTTCATTGCACAATCCGTGAAGTTCAAGAACCAGTATGACCTAGAGCGGCTCGCTAGATTATTGTAAGAAGTCCGATAAGCATGCTTCATCTTATCGAATATTTTTTTTATTTTGAGGAATCGAGATCGTGATAAGAATATTTGAACTGTAACCGTAACATTCGTAATGTTTAATATTGATGGATCTGTCGTCTGCGTAGCGTATATAAAACAAAACCCGATTCCACGAAAAAATATAAATTAAAATAAATTATAAAACAATAAAATGCGAACGGTTAGCAACAAACCGACGGTGATGGCCAAAATGGCACTGCCGCCGGTTTGAGCCACAAACCGGTAGCGTTAGCTTAGCCATCACTGCCGGATCTTTTCATAAACCGGCAGTGCTGGTTACGACAACACTGCCGGCTAAAAACACAAACCAACAGTAATGTTTGAGGTTACACTGCCAGGTGGTCTCATGAACCGGCAGTGTTGGTGAAACTGAACTCTATCGGGTTGTGTAAAGGACCGGCAATGAAGTTGAAGAATACTGTCGGTTTGTAGGAACCGACAGTGATAGCTAACCCTCATCACTGCCGATATGGTTGTGCTAGTTCAGAATCCGACAGTGATGGGGTGTTTTGAACCGTTAGTACTGTCCTGATCTGGGGTAGTGCAAGATACCCCCCACTACCGGAAACCTCAAATTTGCCGAGTATTTTTTGTTTGCCGAGTGTATTCCACTCGGGCACTCGACGAACAAGTTCTTTGCCGAGTGCTGCGCTAAAAACACTCGGCAAATAGGGGGTTTGCCGAATATCAAAAAAAATACTCGGCAAAGAGGGAGTTTGCCGAGTGTTAAAAAAAACGCTCGGCAAATAAATAAAATCTTTTTTTCTGGACATCAAGGAGAAGAAAAAATTGGAAAAAAAACCTTTGCCGAGTGCTCAGATCTATAACACTCAGCAAAAAAAAAAGGAGAACAAAAAAATAAAGAAAAAAACTTTGCCGAGTGCCCCGATCTGGGACACTCGGCAAACAAAAAATATCGTACTTAACCCCAGCGCCCCTTTCCTCCCGGCCCCCTGCCCCCTCTCTCTCCCGAACCCCAGTGCCCCCTCTCCTCCGCTGGCGCCGCCTCCCTCCCCTCCTCTCCCGGCCGGCCTCTTCCCCTTCGGCCGCCGCCCCTCCCGTCCTCTCTCGACCCCCTCCTCCCTCCCTCCCTCGCCAGATCCGACCGCCGCCCCTCCCCTCCTGGCCCCCTCATCCGGCGCCCCCTTTTCCGGTGGCGTGGCGGCGGGGATCCAGCGCCCGGCGGCCCCTCCTTCCCCGGCAACGTGGCGAACCCTCCCTCCCCGGCGGCGTGGCCCCTCCTTCCCCGTGGCTGTGTGGTGGCTTTGTGGTGGTGTCAGCGGTGGCATGGGCGGTGGTGGAGGCAGTGGCATGGGCGGTGGTGGTGGCCGGCGGAGCAGGGTGATTGTTTTTTTTTCAAAAAATGTTTGTCGAGTGCCTGACGATTGACACTCGGCAAACAACTCTTTGCCGTTAAAACCTACGCCGAGTGGCGTTTGTCGAGTGTTACACTCAGTAAACCGTTTGCCAAGTGTTTTTGTGGCTTTGCCGCCCCTGGTTCCCGTAGTGCCCCCCCCAAGGGACTCCACTCTGTCTTCCTTTCTTTTTTTTAGGGCAAGCCTACAACATAAACATCGTGCCAATAAAAAAGTAGCAGCATGCAGCAGGGGCAGCACACAAGAAGAAAAATAACGAAAGTCATGGAGAGAGGTTTCTTTTTCAAAAGTCACCTGCATAAACAAGTGACCGGAAGGGATGCATGCGTGGCCAATGGGCACAATTGCGTAGGAATTAAGGTAACGCCTCTTATCGGCTCACTTAGCAAGAGAAGTTCTTCCCTAATGCAGTGTAAAAACAAAGATAAACAATATGCTGGGTTCATGATGATGTTTTCATGTTGACCTACCCATATTGGAAAGTAATATAAATGTATTATACGGGTGAATGACGTAGGATACTTCAAGGGGGACCATGCAAGTCGATCCAACTAGTATGCACGTATTAACAAATTTTAGTAACGCATTGAAAGGCTAGCCCACTGGATACATTAATTATTTGATTTCTAAGACCTACGTACTATTACTATTTAGGGCCTCTTTAGATCTCTTAGCAACTGCTCTCTCCATACTAAAAAATAAAGTCGTCTTGAACAGCGACATGGTCTCCAAAGTATTACTTTGACACCTTGTTTTTTATAAAAATATTTATAAAAAATTGATATATGTATATTTTTATGAAAGTGTTTTTCAAGACAAATCTATTTATATGGTTTTCACATTTCCAAACTCAACAACTTAAAAGTTATTCATGATTTATATTCCTAATGTTTGACTCAAGCCTTGTCCAAAACGACTTTATTTTTTTTAGTACGGATGGAGTAATAGGTAGCTAGCTAATACTATTATTAGTTGCTACTATTTGCTACTTTGATTCAACCAGTAAAATAGTTGTTAGTTGAGTATTCGGCTAACAATGAGCTAAACTATTAGCTACATATGTTTGGATCCAAGGAACTAATGGAAACGCTTAGACGCGGGCGTCCATCCGGTCAGATGTGGCATCCCACTCCGCTTCGCCCACCTCTCTCATAAAAAAACAAAATTCCTGACTTAGCCTCGCGCCCCACTCCACCGCGTGCCTCTATCTTGAGCCGTGGTCCATTCCGGCACGCCGCCGCCATCCCCCGCAGCACCCGGCCCCGTACCCCTCGGCGCCTCCCCCCGCACAGAAGAGGAATCCTCCACCAAGGTACGCTGCCAGCCGCCCCACCGACTACAGCTGCTGCTGGACCCGGTCACCGACACCTCGCCCTCCACCTCCAAGCTCCATGCGCGTGCTCGGCGACTATAGCGGCGCCTCCATCCCCGCCGCGCCATGCCATGCCTTGTCCTCCGCCGTGCTCAGGCCAGGTGCCAGGAGAGGGGGTCGTCGCTGGCCGGACCCAGGCTAGGCACAGGTGTAGCTGCCATTGCTAGGCCGTCGTCGCCGTCCTCTGTCGCCGGTGGCTAGAACCGGCCGTTCCCCACTCTGCTCTGCTCGCACAGAAGAAGGGTGAAAAACACATGTTGCTAGCGTACATGTCAAGTGTTTCAAATGTATGTTGCAACTGTTTTAGATGGATGTTGCAAAAGTTGATCGGGATATTACATATGTTGCAATGCTTGTACACGTATGTTGCAAGCTTATGTTCTCAATGCTTTATTTTTTCCGACGTATGTTGCAAGTGTGTTTATCTGAATGTTGCATATGTTATCATATTACAAGTGTTTTATCTGGATGTTGCGTATGTGTTGCAATGGTTTCAAATGTTTTTCATGTGTTTTTACAAGTGTTTCAGACACATATTTCAAATGTTTCATTGTATTTAGGCGTATGTTGCAACTGTTGTATCTGGATGTTTCAAAACTAGATTGGATGTTGCATCTCCCTCCTCGTCTTCTGTTGTCTCGCCTCGGTGTCAGGCGTGGGAAGCGAGGGCAGGCGGAGGCTGTCCCCGCTGGCGTGGGCGGTGCCCACGTGCATGCGTGGGTGCGCGGCAGCATGCAACATGTGTCGCAGCAGCAAGTGGGCACGCAACAGCAGGAGGCGTGGGCTAGCAGGCACAGTAGGCGTGGGCGGGCGCAACAGGTGAGGCATAGGTAGACGGGTGCAACAGGCTGATGAGGCGGGCGCAGCAGGTGATGCGTGGGCAGGCGGGTGCAGCAGGCGCAGTGGGGCAGGCGTCCGGACACTAGCCACGCTCAGAAACTAATTATTAG